TCTTGAATAGTTTTCGAGATATAACGAAAAAATGAAAAATTAATTTATATATAAGCGGTGGTTTCATCCCTTTAAACCGTTTTTGGGCCGCAACTGCTAATTTCTAAATTCATATATTTAGGTAACCTACATGTATAAAAAGTTTCGTTAAGATCAGAATTTGACACTTCGCGAGGTTCCCTTGTTAGTGTAACTTTTGACGAAAGATCAAGGAGATTTTAACTTCCACAAGACAGTGGGAGTCGTGGACGTCGGTGGCACTGAGAAAAAGGAAGACGAGCCAGAAAGCAAAATATCAGCAGACGAGATTTCAGAAGAAGATAACCAAGAAGATCATTTCGAGGATAGCCGAAAAGAGATTCAAGAAGAAATGGTTAAGAATGTGCCTACTTCAAAAAAGGATACTTCGAAACTACGAGATCGGTCAACGTTAAAGAAATCTATACTCCGTAGCAAGAGCATACGTATACCTACCTCTGCGCATACGGACAGCATAGTAGGGAGAGCGCATGCATAGGGATTACTGCCCTAGATTATTTAGTACCGTACACGTTGCATCGACACGCTCGGACCCGCACTTAGAACCTTATCTAGACAGACTAGCATAACTGCATAATTATCTGCAAAAAAGTTATCCAATCGCATTTCTATTATAAAAACAAACGTAAAATGCAATTGGATAACTTTCTTAATATAATTGCAATCGGTAAGGGTTTAATATTTTGATGACATAAACAAATTATACGGACTTGAACGAACAGTGGAGAGGAGCGCCCTTCAAGCTTTCAGCTGTGGAGGGGACATGCGTAAGATGAATGAATTTTCATCGAAGTTAGGTATGTTCTTGTTGTGAACGGAGTATAGTTGACTTTATTTATTCGTAAATATTGCTGAGGTAGAGCCAAAAACGTTCAAGGAGGCAATGGAAAGTAAAGAGGCTAAAAAATGGCAAGAGACAGTAGAGGCAAAAATTGCCGCTTATCGTAAGAATGGAATGTGGTACGAAAAGATGATTCCATTAAAAAGCAACCTATTCCATGTAAGTGGATCTTCAAGAAGAAAATCACACCAGGTGAACCAGAAAGATATGAGGTTAACAATAAGGAGACTGCAAGACAAGATACCAATCGATTACTATAAAACTCATCATATCGATAGGTATCAGCATCGAGTATTATTGAGTAAACGGATAAGACGCACTATTCAAGCGCTTGCGAGAAAAACGAAGTTGAAAATTCCGAGATCTTGATAAGCAAGTCAGTAGAGCGTTTTACCAATGAATCGGTAGAGCAGCAGTAGCGCTCTAGATCGGTAATTCTACGTTGCTTTCGAGTTCTCAACTTTCTTTAATACAATTTTTTTTAGTTAAATACAATTATTACAAAAATGTACATTACATAAATTAATACTTTTTATTTATTTAGTTTATGTTACAAAGATACGTTTGCGTTTTTTGCCCAGAAAATCTATGTGATTGCTATATAATATGAATAAATGTAAACATATTTTATTTATTAATGGAAGTACATACATGAAATAATATATAATGCAGGATGATATTTATCATAAAAATAAGCAAAGCAATAATTCACACGACATCTTGCGCATCGTATAAAAGCAGCGTTTTTACAATTACATGGTTGTTTTAAAATATCAGTTGGAAAACATACTTCATTAACTTTCATAAATACTTCTCTCTTATTTGTCAATTTTAGTGCAAACCATGCATATTGTTACATATTTGCAAAAATCGGAGAAGACAATTGGTGATGCAGAATTTCTCCATTTCTTCTCGTTCTTTAGTTCTTTATCTTGCCGATTCTCTTCTTCTTCCTATCTGCTATCTATTCCTTGAAGCCAAAGTTCTAGAAACATCCGACAAATAGGGGATGTATACGTTAAATTTTAAACTACAATTACAGTCGAACCTCGATAACTCGAATCTCTACAACTTGAAAACCTCTATAAGACGAAAATTTTGTTCATTCCCTTCCGCTCCGCTACGGTAAACCTCTAAATCGAAATAAAACCTACCTTAACTCGAATTATTTGTCAGGCATTTAGATATATATTTTACCTCTGTAACTCGAATTTAAAGTAACCAGACCTCTACAAGTCGAACCTCTATATGTCGAACTTCCATTATCGCGCTATCTCTATAATTCGAAGTTGTAGCTATGTGTAACTGTAAGTAATAGCCAGCTGGTATATTGTTTTATTTTATACATTTATCATATGTATGCAATAAATAATTACTGTTTAATATTGATTTTCTTCCTCTAGAAGCCATTATGATTGGAAAAAACTCTTGTACAAAGTCTCCGTAAGTCGAATTGTCATATGTTAAACCTCTTTTACTCGAATTTCGATAAGTCGAAAACTCTATAACTCAAACAATTTTTCTAGTCCTTTGAGATTCGAGTTATCGAGGTTCGACTGTACTTATAAGTAAGATTATAGCGTTTTATTTGCTTTTTTTTGAAGGATAAAATATGTTTCATATTTCGTGTTATGTACGTATAGCGATTACAGTATAAAATAGATTTTCTGGGCAAAGAACGCAAATGCATCTTTGTAACATACAATAAATAAATAAGAAGTATTAATTCATGTAATGTACTTTTTTGTAATAATTGTATTCAACTAAAAAAAATTGTATTAAAGAAAGTTGAGAACTCGAACCAGCAACATAGAATTACCGATCTAGAGCGCTACTGCTGCCCTACCGATTTATCGATAAAACGCTCTACTGAAATTGCTTATCAAGATCTCAGAACTTTCAACTTCATTTTTCTCGCAAACGCTTAAGTAGTGCGTCTTATCCATTTACTCAATAATACTCGACCCTGATACCTATCGATACTATGAGTTTCATAGAAATCGATTGATACGTCATGCAGTCTCCTTATAAATTAGTGGCAGGGGACTTTATGCAAAAACTCGATTACGATAATACGTACCCACCTTAAGTAACTATAATCAAATCGTTAC